TTCTCACCTTTGTCAATGATTACTTGTGTGCTACGTGGTCTTGGTCCAATTGCTTTCCCTCCCTAAAGCTCAGTTTCTGCATCTGTAAAATGGATATAATGCCATAGATATAGATATAGATATACACACATATACATATGTGTGTACATACTTACATAAACTGAAATATATAGTTATATAAATATTGCAGTTTAAGTCTCAAAAATCACTGAAGGGTATTTTTATAATACCCTTTGGCAATTTTACCTGTGGCCTTTGCACATTCTGGTGAATTTCTAAATGGAAGTCTGACAGAGATTAATCTTTTAATGCCTCATAAATAAAAAAGAAAAGCACAGAATGATGTAGCTGGTGAGGACCCTGGGGATCTAAAATGTTTCATGAAATATAAATGTCCTTGATCTGTTTGTAACTGTTTTGGAAAAATACTCCATGGGCAAATAAACCTTGGAAGTATTGGATTAAATTTAAATAGTTTGGTTTTTTCCCTGCAGAACTTCGCAGTCTTTAATATGGTAATATGTTTTGTGAATCTACAAGACATTGATAAAGAATGAAGTGTTTCAACACTTACTTTACCGAGATTCTCATTTTGGGATAGGCTGGTCAAGCTGAGTCAGCTAGTGTATTCTCTACATGGAGATGATGGCTGATGCCTTTGTGAGAGCAAGAGAGTCCCCAGGGGAAGCAAGGATATATCAGTTGCTCCTGTTTCATGCCAAGAATCCTCAGTCTTTCTCTAGAGGCTCAGAGAAGGATGAAAGGCTACACTAGGCCATCAGGGCTACCATTCATTGTGACCTATGCTACAGAGAAGCTCTGAGCTCAGTGCAAAGAAGTGACCAGCCCTTGAGAATCAGGAAAATTTATTTATTTCTGACTTAGTCCACTGAAGACATACAAGGAATGAGATGTGGGAGTGTCACCAGCTGTTAGAAGTTAGTCTGATTCTCTTTCACTAAGAAAACTGGTCCCCGTGAGTTTAGATTGGGAAGCACCAGGTTAAAATATTTTAGGCTGGGAGTGGTGGATACTGCACTCCAGCCTGGGTGATGACAGAGTGAGAATTTGTCTCAAAAAAAAAAAAAAATTGCCAGGCGAGGTGATTCACACCTATAATCCTAGCACTTTGGGAGGGTGAGACAGGTGGATCACAAGGTCAGGAGTTCAAGACCAACCTGGCCAACACAGTGAAACTCTGTCTCTACTAAAAGTACAAAAACTTAGCTGGGCATGGTGGCATGCACCTGTAATCTCAGCTACTTGGGAGGCTGAGGCAGGAGAATTGCTTGAACCTGGAAGGCAGAAGTTGCAGTGAGCGGAGATTGTGCCATTGCACTCCAGCCTGAGCTACAGAGCAAGACTCCATTTCAAAAAAAGAAAAAAATAATAATTAATTTAGGTCTTCTATGGAGGAACTCTCTGAACTTTTAATATGAAGGTGTGCATTGTGAAGAATGGGAGTAGAGTATACAGGAGTTTTAAAAGTTACTTGGTCATGAAACTCTTGCTTCGTGCAGGATTTGAGAGGCACTAATGTTCTGAGGAAAATGCACTGGGAAACACTGATCTAATCCAAACTTCTCATTTTACCAGCAAACAACTGTGGGGCCCTCTCAGTTTCCTTTCTTCATCATTATGACAAATTCATTGGAATTAATTCAGTTAAACTTGGGGCCAGCTTTGAAGAGATTTATTTAGCAGGCAAACCTCTTTTGTACATTTCAAGATAAACTTACTACATATATTTTGAGTTTCCATAGTCAAAAGCCACAGATCAATTCAAGCAACATTTATGGAATATCACCTATGCCCAAAGACTCTTTAGCTACAGTGATGGTCTACAAAAATATAAACTGTAATTCTTGCAATACAGGAGATTAGTAATATTGCTAAATATAATGATGATGACACTATGAATAGCTAACGTTTATTGAATGCCTTTCTGTTAGTCAGGCACTTTACTAAGTATTTTAATCCTCCCAACAATTTATGAGGTAGGGATTATAGTAATTTCCATTTTATAGTGAGGACACTGAGGTTAGAAAATTATCCTAACTTAAATGTTAGGAATAAGCATGAATAGAAAGGTGTTATCAGCCTATAAGACTTTCCTTTACGAGTGATATAAAGTACTATATAAATTCAGAGAAAAGAAAAACAGTTTTAGAAAGCCTTGATCAGTGAGTGTGAAGTACGTGGTGGCCCAGTTACTGCTTGGCTGCCCATCTCTCCTCCCTCTGGGGATTAGCACCCCCTTACTTTGGAAGAATTGCTTTTCACTGTGAGGTTCTTTCTGGCTATTTCATGGGGTACATTGCCTCAAACTAGACCTGTTACAGTCTTTGAGAACCTTGAAATTGGAACCACGGGAAGAGGATTTCCTCTTGAATGGTAATTCTCTAATATCTAGTCTGAGATGCCAGTGCCTAGTCCCTGAGTCTGTGGAAGGAGCTGGGCTGTGAGAGAAGAGAATGATGTTGATGTCAAGAGAGAGGGAGGTGCTAGCAGCAGAGAGATGCAGGCCTGGAGGGCTTCTGGGCATCTCTGAGCCTTAGGGGTTGCATCATTGTCTTCCTTACTGAGACAAAAGACTTGCCACACCTGCTCTTCTGGGAATGAAACTGTCCTTCTTTGCAAAACAAAATGTCATTAGAAAAACATCTTAAAAACCCACAGGGTATAGATGTGCAAAGGTCCCTAGAAGTGCTAAGGTTCTGTCTGTTGGGTGCTAGGCCAAGACTCTCAAATATACCAAGAAAAGGTTAGAAACTTCATGGACCGGGCTTGGTGGCTCACACCTGTAATCCCAGCACTTTGGGAGGCCAAAGCTGGTAGATCGCTTGAGCTGAGAAGTTCAAGACCAGCCTGAGCAACATGGTGAAACTCCATTCCAACAAAAACTATGAAAATTAACTGGGTATGAAGGTGTGTACCTATAGTCCTAGATACTTGAGGGCCTGAGGCGGGAGGACCACTTGAGCCCAGGATGGAGAGGGTATAGTGAGCCATGATTTTGCCACAGCACTCTAGCTGGGTGACAGGAACTTTATAGAGAATGGCCCCTTGGAGACTGAGTAGAGACTAGAGGGATAAATAAAAACCAGAAACAACCTCCCCCAACTTGTCACACTATTCTTTTAAAAAATTGTTAATTGACAAATTAAAATTGTATGTATCTGGGATATAATGTGATATTATAATACATGCATACATTGTGGAATAATTAAATCTGGAGAATTAATACAACCATCACCTCAAAACCTATCATTTTTCGTGGTGAGAACATTTAAAATGTACTGTCTTAGCAATTTTGAAATATACTTTATTTTTAATTACAGTCACCATGCTGTGCTGCAGATCTCAACGAAATATATTCTTCCTGTCTCAACTAAAACATTGTACTCTTTGACCACATTTCCCCCTTCCTCTCACCCCCTCTAAGAACCCCCATTCTTTATGTTGAAGAGAATGGCTAAAAAGTCCCAGCAGGTTTCAGCTGATGACTTCAGGGGTTTCCTTATCACACTTCAATGTTATTAATAAAAAGGGGAGGGGCAATATGTAATTTGGACAGGCTGAAAGTCCCATTGTAACTACTTTCTTGACTTCACAAAGAAAGTCCTCTTGTTTTCATCTGTAAAATGGGAACTGCATGAATACCATTCTTCTTTTTGTCAGCTTTCAAAGACAAAACAGATGCAAAGCCTTTTATCAATTGCAAAACAGTATACAATGTATGTTATTACTCACAGTTGTCTTACTGTGATCGAACACCTTATAACCCCGCGGCAAGTCAGCCTTACTCTCAGGAAGTGGACAATATTTGGGAAAGGAGAAGTAGCAGGGTATTTCAGGACAGCAGCCTTGGTGGGTCCAAAAATTCCTTGAGAGAGATGGGAGATAGAACTTTCTTCTTGCTTTGGGTTTTATCCTGTTAGTCTTTTCTGTCGTCACTCATTTTTCTATGGAGAATTTCCTGGTTTGGGATTTTAGGTGGGTTTTATGGGGAGGAGGTAGAAAATCTTTAGCTCCAGCAGAATGAAAGGATACATGCAAAGGGACCTAGCACAGTACCTGGTACCCAGTTCTCCTTTAACTTGGCTTTGTTCATTCACTCCTGGTAGGACATTAACAAGGGCTTTAGCCCCTCCTATTGAAAATAACTAACTCAGTGCAGAGTTCAGATCCTGTGGACTAATACGCTGTAGGACAAGCCTATTTCTAAGGCAGGAGCTGGTTAGGGAGGGCGAGAAGGATGAGAAGAATAGGGAAGTATGTGTTGGCTGTGTCGCTGCTGTTGCAACCACCACAACAAACAAGCAAACAACAACAAAGGAATTGTTCATACCGGAAAGTGTGCTGCCTTGGAAGAGGCTGGGGAAAATGTGGACGGCTCAAGGGGTCTTGCTGGATTGAAGGCTGACAGTGGTGATTCCCTTCAACAAATGGTCGTGGTGGGAGGGTACACACACACACACACACACACACCCCACACACAGCGACACACACATACAGCAACACACACATACACACACACACCCCTCACACACACAGCGACACACACACACACACGCACACAGCGCCCAGACTCCGATTTCAGCGCTGGCAGGAGATAACCATTCTCAGCTCGCCTTTCCAGGGTTATTTTTGGCTGGGGCTGTTCGCTGATGGCAAAAGGTTTCAGCCCCCTCCCAACTCCCTCCCTGTCCTTGTTCAAAAGAGAAACTGGTGCTTGTAGGCTGCGCACTCCCAGGGAGACCGGGAGAGGGGCCGGGGTGCGGGAGAAGAACCAGGGCTCTGCCCAAAGTCTCGCCGCCCGTGGGCTGTTTTCTGCTGGAGGGTGTGCCCGGGAGAGCAGGAGCGCGGGGGAAGGCTGGGGCCCGGCGCTGGTGGAAGCGTCACCTGGGTCGGGCTAGCAGGCCCTGGAATCGGGCTTTTGGGACACCCCGAAAGAGAGTCCAACTTGGGAAGACACTGAGGGCACCTCGGGCGGACCGGCAGCAGAGAAGGTGGGCGGGAGAAAACTTTATAGGAAGGTGGAGGCAAACTCTGCAGAGGGAAGCAGCGAGCGGCGGAGCGGAGCGGAGAGGAGGGGCGGGCGGTCCCCCCCGCAGGCGCAGGGCGCAGGGCGCGGGCTGGCTGAGGAGGGGGCCCGGGCGTGAGGCGGAGTCCCGGCGTGCGGCCAGGCTGGTGGGGGCCCCCGGCGGGCTGCAGATTTCCTTGGGCTCCAGGAGCCGCAGCAGGACCGGCCAGGAGGCGCCATGGAGGGGAGCCCCATCCCGGTGCTGACGGTGCCCACCGCGCCCTACGAGGACCAGCGGCCGGCCGGCGGTGGGGGGCTGCGGCGGCCCACTGGCCTCTTCGAGGGCCAGCGCAACTACCTGCCCAACTTCATCCAGAGCGTGCTGTCGTCCATCGACCTGCGCGACCGCCAGGGCTGCACCATGGTGGTGGGCAGCGACGGCAGGTACTTTAGCAAGACGGCCACCGAGATCGTGGTGCAGATGGCTGCAGCCAACGGGGTGAGTGAGTGACCGGATGCCCCATGCTTCCTTCCTCTCTGCCGCCAGGCCCTCTACACGCCCTGGTTCCCCCCACTGCCTCCGGGCCTAGTTGGAAGACCCCCTCCCCGCTCCGGCTCTGCTGCCTTCCTCCCGCATCCTCACCCTCCAGTGCACCACCCCCGCCGCACTCGCAGCTCCCGGGCGCACCCCCGACACCGGGTTCTATTAGCACCCACCTCCCCCAAAAGCCTTGAGTGGTCTCCGTCGTTCCTGGAGCCACTCCGGGTGCCCCGGACTCTTCTCCGACTCTGCCCACATCCCGCACCTGCTCATTTTTCTTTCCGGCTTTCTCTTGCCCAGTCTTGTCGATTCCACGGCAGCTCCCAGTTTTCCATATTTTTCCCAGCACGTACACTATCCACCTTCCCCACACAAACTTCTTTCGCAGGCTCTCAACATAGTCGCCCTCGCCCTGTGGCCTTTTTGCAATAATCCCCCAATCCCCTAAGTCTTAGCTCTGCCAATTTAACTGTAGTGGTGTCTCAGAACACACACACACACACTCCCTGACATATTTGGCAAGAGTGGGCCCTGAAGGTTTTTAATATTTTAATATTTTGGGTTTTTAATATTTTGAAGGTTTTTAATATTTCGGTTCTTTAACCCAGTGTAACCCAGTGGAATTACTGAATGATTTATTTGATTAGGATAGGGATGGAATGGATCAATTTGATGCCAAACAGCTTGGGTTCACAGTTCCCAGGAGGCATATCTCTAAATGGGCTGAAATGAGATTTGCAATGGCTCTCTTAATGCAATTTCCAACTTCTCTCCAAATGCTTTTTGGCATTTGATAACATTTCATGCCTCTTCCCCTTTCAGTTTTCATCCTCATTTCCTCTCCCTTCTCCCACGACCTCGGTAGTCTTCTTTCGCAATCCGGATTCTCAGACTTCAGGTTTTTCCTCCCTCTGCACCTTTCCTCTCTGTCCTGTAACTAGAAACACTTTTTGGCATAGCCTCATATGCCAATTTTCTGTTTCCCAAGTCTGGCAGCATCTCAAGGACATTTACAAAAGGGATACTTAATTTCAGACGTCTCTGAATTATCCGTGGGAAACATCATCTAAAAAAGTAATTTCATCCTTGTTAATACAACCAGACCCACACAAATAGAACTTTTCTTTAAAGAAATTCTCTTGCAGATGTATAAATGAGTGTTAACATCTTCAAAAGCAAAATTGAACAATTCCCTGGCATTTGGATTCTCTCCCTCCTTCCCAACCCTCTCCTTTTCATTTTCTCACTTACTATTAAAAATATTTTTAAAGGATTCTCCATGCTTCATATTTATCTACTATAATTCCCCCTTCTCAGTGTTTCAGTGATAAGGAAAGAGGATTCTTTTAAAAAACATAAAAGCAATTGGGAGAAACAGGCCAGTGGTGTTGGGGTGGGTGGTGGAATTGTGATTTTTGACTCTAGCAGAGTCAAAAATGATGCTGGAGATATGGGGGTTTGTATTTCCCTCTGGCTCCTCAGTTGGTATTGATGAAGGTTGGCTAGAATCAGGGAGTTGAAGAGAGGTTGACAAATGGTCTTTCACTTTTGTCTGACAAGGCTGTTCCCATGGAGTGATGGAGAATAATGAGCCTTGAGAGAGCTATGGCAGCTCTCATACTCCTTCTTGGGCCAATATTTTTAGGGAGTGAGAGAAACAGCCCGTTCAATACTTGTTGTGGGTCAGGATATTTTTGAAGCTACAGTTGCTGATTTGCATCGGAAAATTATTGTGTCTTATTATTTCTTGGCCCACTTTACCATAAGGGCTCCTCAGTTTCTTACTTCATTGGATTTTCTATGGCAAACACACTTAATTAACTCTAAGAGTGGAATTTATTTTAGCAGATAATTAGCCTAGGTTAATATATGCTTAAAATAGAGTCAAATTTAGTCTACTAGTTGTTATAAAGGACAGATTACAATTAAAATCCACATAGAAGCATCAACTCTTAATTTATCTGAAAGTACTACTTCTAAGAGGGGTGGGTATGGGTGAAGGGAATGGTAAACATGTTTCAGAATTTCAAACAGCCAGCTTTAACCAATCTTTTCCTCATTTTGTTCACCTTTTTGGGGGCTTATGCTAAAGTGACATTTTATCCCTAAATTCTTTAGTACAGATTTCTAAAAAAATAAGAAATGGAGGTTTCTTTCTTTTTTTTTTGAGCTGGAGTTTCGCTCTTGTTACCCAGGTTGGAGTGCAATGGTGTGATCTTGGCTCACTGCAGCCTAGAAATGGAGGTTTCTTTTATAAGGGCACTAATTCCTATCATGAGGGCTCTTCCTTATGACCTAATGACCCCCAAAGGCCCCATCTTGTAATACCAGCACCTTTGGGGTTAGGATTTCAACATACGAATTTTGGGAGGACATACACGTTTAGCCCATTGCAAAGTTTGATTAGATTCAGGCTAAACTTTTTTTTTTTAAAAAAGAATATTTCATATATTCACATCCCATCGTTAGTGATGCTGAAATGATCACAAGATTAGGGTGATTACTGCCTATCTCCTCCGTTATATTCACCATTGGGTCAGGCCAGTAGTCTGTGATGTAAACTTTATACCATGTGTATATTTAGTTCTGTATCAACATTTACCTAATTGTTTTAGCATTTATGGATGATCCTTACTGGAGTTGATCATTTCATTAGGGGTTTCAGATGGTGACTTTCTAATTCTTTCTACATGTTTTAGCTGGCATTTTTCTATAAGCAGGCCATTTTCTTCACAACTAGGTCATTGGTTACCCTGAAATATAGTTCATTCCGGAAAGGCAGAACATGTGTTTATGTCTTTTAAAAATTACCGGTGTTTGGAGTGAGGATTTGGTGAGTTAACTACCTCCACAGGTGACAAATGAATTTTTGCTTCTCACTTTCACTTTTTTGAGTATCATTCTGGATGCTTGGATTTTTATATTTAATTTGAATGGATTAGGGAATAAATGAGAAGATAGTTTTTATCTGATTCTGTAGTTTTTATGTGGCTATGAGAACTTACATTTAAAAATTCCAAGAAATATTTTAATTCCCCTTTAAAGATATAAACTATGTCATACTATAGAGCAAAAGAAAAACCGATCATGTGGAAAGAGCGAATAGTATCATTTAAATGAATTATGGTTAAGCTTAGTTTGTAACAAATTAGCTCTCTTTCTATTTCCATCTGCTTCAGAGCCTCAACTTTTTGTATCTTCTATGTATCAAATTATTCACATCTCTTAAAAAGTTGAAGAGCCAAAATGCAACACAATGACTGTAGTAATGTCTTTGCCCTTTTCTAGGTTAGTGCACCTAAGGCAACCTCTTTTTCTCGTCTTTGTTCTGATCTTTCTTATTCCTAAACGACTTCAGTATTGGACAGATGACAGCACTGTGCCTGTCTCAAGATGTTTCTGACCTTTTATTTTTATTTTTATTTTTGAGACGGAGTCTTGCTTTATCATCCAGGCTGGAGTGCAGTTGCACGATCTTGGCTCACTGCAACCTCCACCTCCCGGGTTCCAGTAATTCTCCCACCTCAGCCTCCTGAGTAGCTGGGATTACAGGCATGCACCACCATGCCTGGCCATTTCTGACTTTTTCTAAAGTCTTCTTTCTCTGGAGATAACATTATATAATAGCACTGCTCAATAGAGGTTTCTCTGATGATGGAATTGTTCTGTAATCTGCATTGTCCCAGCCAATTAGCCATATGTGAATATTGAATACTTGAAATGTGGCTAGAGCAACTGAAGAACTGAATTTTGCATTTTACTTAATTTTAACTAATTAAAATAGAAATGCAAATAGCCACAAGCGGTTAGTAGCTACCATACTGGACAGCAAAGATCTATTATTTAGCTTTTAAAATCTATCTTGTTTTGTTTTCAAAAATGGAGTTGGACTTTTACAACCCAAAGGAACGATAGGCTAAATTAAGGTAAATCATCAAATACTACAAATACACATTTGGGAAATCCAAACAAGATATTTTCATGTGATAATCGTACCCTCTTTTGACTTTAGCCTTGGAGATATTGAGGTATGGCAGAAAAAACCCTGTATCAACAGCTGGAAGACCCACCTTCTTTTCCTCACTCTGCCACATATTGACCAAAAGAGTCAAAGTCCATTCACATGGTTGAAGGGCCTTGGAATTTTGTTTTTGGTTTACACATGCAAGTTGGAGGGCAGAAGTTTTAGCCTCTTGAAATACCTAGAAACCACTTGTTTCCTCGTCTAAAAATCATTATGACAGCGAAACACTGCATATGAAAGCACTTTGTAACATCTATAGCACTGGGAAATGTAAATAACTTTTACTGAAATATAAAGATGTATGAGCAACTGAATACATCTCAGACAATTATGATTTGACTGTATGTATTGAATATAGCCTGTAGTGGGCCCCTTGGTAAACGACTTAACAGTTTTGTTGCAAGTTTTTAGTGAAGAGAAAATTTATTTGTTGACTAGCCATGCCCTATATTGGCCACATGATGAATGGCAATGATATTGACACACAGAGCACCTTACAGAATTCAAGAATTTCTCAGTGCCTTGTGAACTCTTTCAAAGTGGGAAGCTGATATGCAGTGATATGCCGAAGGCTGGCTCAACCAGGGCCTTGGGAGTGTCCTCCAGATAGATACGTGTGCAGGTTGTATTAGGTTCCGGTTGGCTATGAAAAGCTGGTTGCTCTAAAGAATGAGAATATACTTAGTTTGGCATTTATTAGAACTATCTGGGGAACAAATCTTGGGGTGGTCCCCAAACTGAGCAACATAGATTTGGAAGTGGAGTGACGTGGGAAGTGGTGGTGGCTGGGGAAGGGAGAGAAGTAGGAAGGGTAGAGGAAGGAAGGGAGAGAGGGAAACCTGTGCTTCAATACCTAGGTCTTCTTTCCTGGAATGAATCTGAGAATCTGGGACTGGGTGGCTAAGATCTCATCTCTAGAAGGGAGAAAGAACTG